AGCAACAGCCATGGTTTTTTGATATCACGTATGGTTGCTTTTCTGGCCTGGTATGGGAGTCTGTTGCAATTCAGCCCATCGAACGATTGCCCTATTAATGATTTTCACTGCTTTGTACTTTCATCTATGCAGAAAGCGGGTACTTGGAAGCTGAATTTAAATTTGCGTGGTCACACGTGGGTGGGGAACGTTCCTCTAAATTTTCAGTTTCCTAGCTTTTGTGGTTCCCGAGCTGAAATTTGCGGACAGGTTGCTGCGAACACACACAAACACACACAGACAACCCCGTGCGGACACACACTGCTGTTACACAGCACAAAACGCATAATAAATAGCGGCATGCGCCAGGGTAGCCGGTGTGATCATACCTTTTGCGTAATTCCGCCCACCCAACGATTACCTGCTAATGATTTTCACTGTCTGAATTTTAATTTAAGGGGTTGCACGTGGGCAGGGAAGAGTCCCCCAAAATTTCAGCTTTCTAGATTCCGCGATTCCCGAGATAATAATTTACCCGCCAAAAGTTTCGCCTTGCTGTATGTATATTACCCGCGGACACTGGAAGACTGAATTTAAATTTTCTGGATCGTGCATAGGCAGAAGACATATCCATAAAATTTGAGCTTCCTAGCTTCCGTGGTTCCTAAGGTAATAATTTTCCCCTCCAAAATTTTTACGGGGTTATACGTATTATCCACGAGTACAGGAAGAGTGAAATTAAATTTTCTGGGTCGCAAGTAGGCAGCGGATATATCCATAAAATTTTAGTTTCCTAGCTTTCGTGATTTCCGAAATAATGACTTTCCCCACCAAAAATTTTGCGGGGCCGTATATGTTACCCGTTGGTTCGGGGAGGCTGAATTTAAATTTGCGGGGTCACGCATGGGTCCCTAAATTTTCAGCCTCCAAGCATTTGTGGTTCCCGAGTTGGAAGTTGCGAATAAATTGCTACGGACACACGCACAGACAATCCCGTGACATTAGGCGTTTTATGCTGTTGTTACACAGCATAAAACACGTAAATAATAAAAAGATTGTTGAGAGTTATGTGCAGGACTTGCGAAATTTTTTGAAAAAATTTTATAGAGAAATTTTTTAAAAATAATTATTGAAGATAAAACACCAATAGAAGCTGAATCTGAAAATCCAGTAAGTGTAAAATTTTTTTATTATAAACTATAAAGGTATAAACTAAAATGGAATGTTTCAGTCCATGAAGTCGTATACATTTATTTTGTCTGTGCCGAATACTTCACTTAGGCAATAATTAAGGGCCGTTTATGGATTTTTGTTACAGAAAACGAGAGCGCTTCTTCGGCGAGTAAAAATGAGTTGTTGCTGGACACGAAGTACTACTCAGCTCGTGTGAAGATAATTTCACTGAAGACTGTGGAGGAAGCGCAACAGTGGCACTCCTCATCATCGAAAGATAGCGGTGTTGGTGCCGTTATCTTTCGGTATGAGGGTGAATTTGGG